TTGTACATGAGGTACTCCAAAAAGTTCAGGAAGCCCACTTCCTTGTCGACATCCCTTAGCTCTATATAAGTAAAAAATTAAATACATAGTCTATATAAGTACGGCATATGTATAAGTATATGTGTTCATGCCAAGAATCTCCAGCTGGTCTAGGTAACCTCTCCGCCACATCACGACCAAGGCCCTCACGACCTTGCCTGGAACCTTGGCGTGAAGCAGCTTGGCATAGGCCTGGACGACAATTTCATCATCGCCCTGCATCTTGACCTAGCCCAAAGTTCCTAGCAGCTTGGCTTGAAGACGGCTGCCATGCACGAGATTTGAAGCATGATTCCCCCCCTTCTTCCTTCTTAGGGCCGTCCGGCCCCTGGAAGCTTTGGTTTCAAGACGGCTGCCATGCACGAACCTGCCAAAAATGATTCCCCCGCCTTCTCCCTTCGTGGGGCCGTCCGGCCCACATCCCATCTCTTCTGTCTGTCTCCTCCGTCTCTCTCTGTGTGTCTCTCTCTCTCTCTCTCTCTCTCTCTCTCTCTCTCTCTCTCTCTCTCTCTCTCTCTCTCTCTCTCTCTCTCTCTCTCTCTCTCTCTCTCTCTATACATTATTTGGTTAGCAAATTGGGGCCGCCCGGGCCGTCGTTTCAGCTTGAAGCTGGTGATTGAAATCAATAGAAACATCACATCCACCTCAAAATCAATAGAAAATCTCCATAAAATCAATAGAAATTTCCATAAAATCGATAGAAAATTTCCATAAAAATCAATAGAAATTTTCCATAAAATCAATAGAAAGACCGCGATTAAAATCAATAGAAGTCAACACTCAAAATCAATAGAAACATGTACAAACAAAAGTTCCAAACGATTGACATTTCCTCAAATTCAATAGAAGTTTCGTGTGTCCTCAAAATCAAGCGTCCGATTGAAAAAAATCAAGCGGGCGTCCTCTGGGTAGTGCGGTACGTGGTCTAGGTTTCCGGTAAACCACACTGGCTTCCCGAGGCGTCAGCAGACACGGCACGGCAGTAAAGTGCGTGAGCACTGGGCAGGTCTCGCAAAGGCAAGGGTGGGAAGGACACCGCTCTCATCACGAAGGGGGGGTGGGAGTATTGGGGCCAGTTAGCCTATAGTACTGACTTCCCACAAGGAACCCATGGGGCAGACACGGCTGTGAGTGCCAGTGCGTGCATAGAAGCCACGTGTGGCGCAGATTTCGCAAAGGCACGGGTGGGAAGGAATCCGCTGATGAGACGGGCGGGCCGTCGGTGCAAGCCCACCTGGGTATGGCGGTACGTGATTGCGTATGCTTGTATAGTACTTCCAGACACGACTCTGGGTGCAAGTGTGTGCATAGGAGCGTACATGTTTGGGTACAGCTTTCGCAAAGGCAAGGGTGGAGAGAAATCCGCTGATCAGACGGCCGGGCTGTGAACACAAGCCCATGTGGATAGGACAGGTTGTGTTGACGTATGCTACGACCGCTCCCCAAGGAACCCAGTGGGCAGACACGCGTGTCAGGTTTCGAAAGATGATCTGGCAAACGCGACGGTGTGGGCAGGAATCGATCAGGCGGGGGGGCCCGTGAGCGCAAGCCCATGCGGATATGGTGGTACGTGGTCTAGAATCTAGAAGTCCCGCAAACCGGTACCTTCCCCAAGGAACCGGCATCACCAGGCATCCATTGGCACGGCAGAATCCGCTGATCGGACGTGGGGACTCCTGAACACGAGCCCGTGTGATACGCCAGTCTGTGTTGACGTTTGCGTGGCCGTATGCTCCTAACGGCCTCCCAAGTTCCAAAGAACCCACTGGGCAGACATGCCTTCGCAAAGGCAAGGGTGGGATTGAATCCGTTGAGCCGATGCAGGTAGTGCGGTACGTGGTCTGGGTTTCCGGTAAACCACAGTGGCTTATTTGCGAGGCATCAGCAGACACGGCACGGCAGTAAAGTTCGTGAGCACCGGTCAGGTCTCGCAAAGGCAAGGGTGGGAAGGACATAGCCCAGTACTGGCTTCCCAAGGAACCCACGGGGCAGACACGGCTGTGAGTGCCAGTGCGTGCGTAGAAGCGACGTGTGGCGCAGATTTCGAAAAGGCACGGGTGGGAAGGAATCCACTGCTGAGACTGGCGGGCTGTCGGTGCAAGCCCACCTGGGTATGGCAGTACGTGATTGCGTATGCTAGTATAGTACTGGCCTCCCATGCAAGGAACCCACTGGGCAGACACGACTTTGAGTGCAAGTATGTGCATAGGAGCGTACATGTTTGGGTACAGCTTTCGCAAAGGCAAGGGTGGAGAGAAATCCGCTGATGAGACGGCCGGGCTGTGAACACAAGCCCATGTGGATAGGACAGGTTGTGTTGACGTATGCTACGACCGCTCTCCAAGGAACCCAGTGAGCAGACATGCCTGTGAGGTTTCGAAAGATGATCTGGCAAACGCGACGGTGTGGGAAGGAATCGGCCGATCAGGCGGGGGGGCCCGTGAGCGCAAGCCCATGGGGATATTGATATGGTGGTACGTGGTCTAGAATCTAGAAGTCCCGCAAACCGGTACCTTCTTCAAGGAACCGGCATCACCAGGCATCCATTGGCACGGCAGAATCCGCTAATCGGACGTGGGGACTCCTGAACACGAGCCCGTGTGATACGCCAGTCTGTGTTGACCGTATGCTCCTAACGGCCTCCCAAGTTCCAAAGAACCCACTGGGCAGACATGCACTCGCAAAGGCAAGGGTGGGATTGAATCCGCTGAGCCGATGCAGGTAGTGCGGTACGTGGTCTGGGCTGCCGGTAAACCACAGTGGCTTATTTGCGAGGCATCAGCAGACACGGCACGGCAGTAAAGTGCGTGAGCACCGGTCAGGTCTCGCAAAGGCAAGGGTGGGAAGGACACCGCTCTCATCACGAAGTGGGGGTGGGAGTGTTGGGCTAGTTAGCCTAGTACTGGCTTCCCAAGGAACCCACGGGGCAAGGGTGGGAAGGACACCGCTCTCATCACGAAGTGGGGGTGGGAGTGTTGGGCTAGTTAGCCTAGTACTGGCTTTGCAAGGAACCCACGGGGCAGACACGGCTGTGAGTGCCAGTGCGTGCATAGAAGCCACGTGTGGCGCAGATTTCGCAAAGGCACGGGTGGGAAGGAATCCACTGATGAGACGGGCGGGCTGTCGGTGCAAGCCCACCTGGGTATGGCGGTACGTGGTTGCGTATGCTTGTATAGTATAATGGCCCCCCATGCAAGGAACCCACTGGGCAGACACGACTCTGAGTGCAAGTGTGTGCATAGGAGCGTACATGTTTGGGTACAGCTTTCGCAAAGGCAAGGGTGGAGAGAAATCCGCTGATCAGACGGCCGGGCTGTGAACACAAGCCCATGTGGATAGGACTAGGTTGTGTTGACGTATGCTACGACCGCTCTCCAAGGAACCCAGTGGGCAGACACGCGTGTGAGGTTTCGTTAAAGATGATCTGGCAAACGCGACGGCACGCGTCAAACACGGACGTCATTAGCGCCCCACCCCCCCGCCCGCCCCATCTGGGACCAACAAGAACGTGCTGTTGCCAACGAGACTTCTCTTGCTGCACGCGTCAACCACGGACGTTATTAGCCCCCCAACCCACCCCCCGCCAAGGAGACGTCTCTTGCTGCATGCGTCACACAAGGACCAAAATATCCCCGCAGGCGTCAAACACGGCCGGTATTAGCCCCCCACCCCACCCCCCACCCGCCGCCCTTGGGACCGACACGAATGTGCTGGTGCCAACGCAAGTTCTGTTGCTGCACGCGTCAAACACGAACGTTCTGGGCCCCCGGCCCCACCACCCACCCCCCTGGGACCAACAAGAACGTGCTGCTGCCAACGAGACTTCTCTTGCTGTACGCGTCAAACACGGACATGATTATCCCCGCAACACGGACGGTCTTAGCCCCCCACCCCACCCCGACCCCCCCCCCCTGGAACCAACAAGAACGTGCTGGTACCTTCTCTTGCTGCACGCGTCAAACACAGACGTTGTTATCCCCGCACGCGTCAAACACGGACGTTATTAGCCGCCCACCCCACCCCCCACCCCCCACCCGCCCCCCCTGCGTCCGACAAGAACGTGCTGGTGCCAACGTGACTCGTCTTGCTGCACGCGTCAAAGACGTTACTGACCCCCACACCCCACCCCCCCCCCGAACCAAGCAGAACGTGCGTTTCGAGCCTCCAACACTGCATGCGTCAAACCCCGGACGTTCTTTGCCCCGACCCCGCCCCCCCACCCCACCACGACCACCCAAAACGTGCTTTTCCGGCCGGCCCCAACCCGACCCCCCCACCCCGCCCCCCCAGGACCAACCAAAACGTACTTTTCGACACTCCAAAAGTGCGTTTTCGATGGTGCCGTTTTCAGCCCCCGAAGCATGCTCTGAAAACGCGTTTCCGGAAACCAGCGAAAACATGCTTTTCGAGACTCCAAAAGTGCATTTTCAATGGTCTGTCAGATGTTTCCTAAAGCAGCTCAAAACGCACTTTTCGGCCAGCACTTGCCAGCTGGGCAAGTGCACTTTCCTATGGTTTTTACAATGGATTCGGCACTTTGGCGCGCAAATGTCTTCAATTTCCGCTAACTTGCAAAGTGGACTTTCCTATGGTTTTTACAATGGATTCGACACTTTTCCATGCTTGTTGAGGGCAATTCCGAAAAAGACCGAAGTGCACTTTCCTATGGTTTTTACAATGGATTCGGCACCCGGCTTTGCGCAAGCGACTTGGCAACTCTTTGCGCAAGCGACGCGAATTTATTTGCGTAAGCGACGGTGCTGCCACTGGGAGGGGAAAGGCGTTCACGAACGGCGCCACGAGTGCTCTTCACGTGCGACTGGAGTGCAAAGCTTTGGATGGTTTGGCTGATTCGACAGAAAGTGTTACCTATGTCGATCCGTACGATGGCCAGGTGCACAGTGCGTGCAGACTACGACGGCAATGCATGGAAAACCTACCAGTAGAAGTGGTTTGGGCAGGTGCGCACCCGCTTCCTCATTCAAAAGGACCTGACGGTTTGGACCATGCCTTTGGACCAGACCAGCCGCTTCTGGCACAAGGCGAGCCATCCAAGGACCCCGAAATCCAAATCATCCATTCATGAATATACTAATGAGAATATGGTTACTAGTATCCTACCAAATCAGGATTTTCATTATAATGCTGTACAACCATTATTGCTATTATTAGCATTACCATTAATTGCATTAATACGATGATTACTATCACTATTACTATTACACCCTATTCTTCCTATTACTTTTACGGTTGCTACTGCAATTGCGATTACTATGAACATTATTAGGACTAGCATACGTTTTCTTTTTACAACTACTAATTCGCAGCAATATTCTCATTATTAGAATAGTACTATTAGTACAAATATACACCAAAAGAAAACAATAATACAATTTTGGTATGATTCATTGTTAGTAAGTGTTTCTGTACTACAAATGACTGCAATGCGCCGTGACGGCGCAATTGGGGAGTTGCGCTGTCACGGTGCAACGAACAGTAATACTACTACTAATAGTCATTTCGCCGCGACGGCGCAACCGACGATTGCGCCGTCACGGCGCAACCATCGATTCCACCGTAACCGCGCCATTCGGTACTGCATTCGATGTATTATTGATACTACTTGGGAATTTACTTTGACTACTAATTATTATTCATTACTATACTAAGGATAAGATGATTACTAGGATCCTACTAGATCATGACTATCATTATAATCAATATTGTTACCATTAGCATTACCTGTAATAGCATTAACTAATACTATGATTACTATCACTATTACTACTACACCGTATTATTCCTATTACTTTTACGGTTGCTATTGCGATTACTATGAACACTATCTGTACTAACATACGTTTTTCCTTATACAAGTACTAATTCACAGTAATATTTTCACTATTAGAATACTACAATTAGTACAAATAGCAAAACAATAATTCAATTTTGGTATGAACCATTGTTAGTAAGTGTTTTTTGTATTTCAAATGACTGTGATGGGGAGTTGCGCCGAAACGGCGCAACGAACAGTAATACTAAGAATATTCATTGCGTCTCCGAGTATTCTGCATCGCCCCCCTTCTTTATTTTAGCGACAGAAGGGTTTATTCCGCTGGGCATTAGACGTTAGCTTACACACACACACACACGTGAATTTGCCAAGAGCCATCCAAACATCGCGCGGAAATCACAGGTCAATCACAGGAAAACCACAAGACATCACGGGGAAATCGCAGGTCAGTCACATGGAAACCACAGGGAAATAACAGGTCAATCACAGGAAAATCGCAGGGAAGTCACAGGGACATCACGGGAAAATACAGGGCACCAAAACCATAGGACCAGCAAAAGACGATCACACGACACTCACAGGCCATACTCCCGCTCACACAAAAATCGCAGGAGCCATCACAGGAGAATCACAAGGAACTCACAGGGAGAATCACACAAATCAATCATTTCGCCGATCTCAGTGTTTGCGTTCAGGGGCCCTGAAGGATTCGAAAGAATCCTTCAGCCCCCACACGGGGGCCCTGAAGAAGTCTAAAGAATCCTTCAGCCCCCAAAGGAGGGCCCTGAAGGATTCGAAAGAATCCTTCAGGCCCCCATTGCGCCATGACGACGCCATTCATTATTTAATTTGGTGTATTGTTAGCACTACTGAGGAGTTTACTATTCCTACTTTTGTTCATTACCATACTAATGATTATATTGTTACACGCACTTGCGGCATTTACAGGGAGTATTCTTGTGCTTTTTTCTGTTCAGACCAGACCCTAAAATGCGCTTCCCTGTGGCAAATGCATTATCTGTAGGGCGGGGATGTTGGAAGTAAAAAAGTTTTTAAGGGCTTTGTCATGGAGACCTACTACTTTGTGGAGGGCACCGGGAGTTGGGCTTGCACGCCTCATGGGCTTTCGGGCTTTCTGACGGGTTTTGGGACTTTGGGATCCAGATTTGGCAGCTCAGGCTAATGCCAAGCTGCAGAGCTCCACATCGGCGGCTGAAAGACTCAATTCTCCTGATCCAAAGCCCGAGAGTTGCTGTACTAAGCTGTAAGATGGATGCTGAAAGCTTACCCCTTTGCTTGCCAAGAGCAGGCCGAGCTTCGAAACCCCAAATAACTCGACATGGACCTTCAAGCACCCTGTGGAGCAGTGGAGCTCGCTACGGTACTGGGATTGGCGGCTTGGGGCCGAGGGAGTATTTAGAGATATTTAGAGACTGGAGTCTGGTATGTAGGGCTTGGGGTTGTCGTGCCAGAGCCGAGGTGTCGATCTTACAGGCTGGAGACGGTACGTGTAGGGAGTTTCCCGAGCATGGTTTCGGGTCATCAAGATGAGCAAAGACGGCTTTGGGCTGTATGGTGTTCTTTCGGACTCTTCGTAAGTCTTAACAGGGCCCCGTCATTCGGGATGCGTGTTTGTGCCTGCTCATCATTACCAGCCCACCCTCAAGTGCAGGAATCGAAGATCCCGCGCTGGCCGGGCAGGCGTGCGGAGTGCAGAGTGTGGCTCAATTCTAAAGGTTTTGCGTTGCCGGGCTTCGCACGGGGCAATTGCCATAAGCTCAAGAAGATCCCAGGAGACCACGGGAAGCACTCTAAATCAATCTAAACAGGCCCGAACAAAAGGAGTATAGTCATCGAGCTCACGTCAGGTGTCCATTCGCACGGGTACGAGCCCGCAGGATGCTGAAATCTTCATCCAACAACCCCAAACCCAACAGCCTAGCCGCAGCTGCAACAGGCCAAAGGTAGCCGAGCACATCCCAGTTGCCGGTCGCCAAGAAGAAGGTGGGTTTCCGCGGAGCGTTTGCTTCCCGAGGGTGGGGGAAGAATGTTGGTTCTTAATATTGGAAGTCGAGCGCGACTTGAAATGTTAGTGCGAGTGATGCATGGTGGAGGCAGTAGGAAGCATGAAGCCGGTTCAGTGCGTCAGCAAGCTCAGCACAGGAGAATAATGAGGAGTTGTTGATCTTCTTTGCACACCCAATGTTTCTGTCCCAGTGACCGATATAGTACAGCCACAGCTGCAACAGGCCAAAGGTAGCTGAGCACGGTGGGTTTCAGCGCGGCAGTTGCTTCAGGAAAGTAGGGGAAGAATTTCGGTGAATTTTGGTGCTTGAAGATGGAAGTCTTGAAGTGCCGGAGCCAGGGAGCACTGCTCCGTCGCAAGCAGCTGCCAGCAGCCTTCAAAGGCTTCGATGAGCACAGACTTGATAGGGTTGTGCCGTCCCAGGGGAACCTCACCAGGGAGGCAGTCATCAATCAGTGTCTGAGTCCCAGCATGCGGTCGTATCTCACGAAGCGGTGCCAGTACCAAGCAGCAGTAGCAGCAAGAAGTAGCAGCAGTAGCAAGCAGCATAGTAGCTGCAGCAGTACCAGTGATGGCTTATAATAACTACATCCTGACGAACCAATTATCTCCTTGCTGTGCTTGGCTTCTTTCTGCTCTTAGTCGCTTGCATCGCTCGCTCGCCGCCGTCTGCGTGCCTGCAAGCCATCTCTTACACTGTGGACTCCAGTAACCATTCCTACCAAGCCGGCTTCATTGATTGGAAAAGGCCTGTGCAAGAATGTGCACTGGGATACTCTTCTGATTTTTCAGACCGCCATGTACGTTCTGAAAGCCCCCGACCCACAAGTGTGCTTTTGACTGCGAAGAAACGACTGCGAGCGTGGTTGCTTTTGAATCCCCACGTTTGGGAGATAGCTATCTTCTCTCAGTGGAGAGAGCTTCCCACATCTGGGTTCCTTTCCTCGCTGTGTAGGAGCCCAATGAAGTTAAGCCTCAACCAGAGAGCACAAGCATACCCATCCTGCTTTACAAGGACCGCTATGACTGTGATTTCAAAAAGCAAAAGCCTGTACGGAACTCACACCCCTGGCAAGTTCTGAGTTTAACTGTTTTTTAAGGATTGCCGTAACCAGGGATCAAACAACATTTCTACATGCCCCTGAGAAGCCATGACGCCATCATGTTTAGTTGCTCCGTGGCCGTGTCGCCTCGAACCTCGGGCAGATACCTGTGTGCCTGTGTTCCCCTACGCGCCCGGAGCTTGGCAAGGACTGTTTCGAAGGAAGCAGTTCCTGTGCAAAGCAGTCAATCTAATGGTTTAAGCATCTATGGCTCGCGCCACCGTTCAGGGTCCGAACCCAAAAGCCCCGAACAGAAGATTTGTAGATCTTGGGCTCCCACATTTCGGCAAAAAATAGTCCTGCGGGTGCCTACACCTTTGTGAAAGTTGTACATAGACCCTCAACCTGAAACCCTCAAGCCCTACAGCCAAACCGTTCCTTGCTGCTACAGCTACGGCTACCACTGCTGCTGCTGTTGCTGCTGCGGTGCTGCTGCTGCTACTACGACTACGACTACGACTACGACTACGACTACGACTGCGACTACGACTGCTGCTACTGCTAGGACTACGACTACGGCTACGGCTGCCACTGCTGCTGCTGCTATTGCTACTGCTACTGCTACTGCTACTCCTACTCCTACTCCTACTGCTACTCCTACTCCTACTCCTACTCCTACTCCTACTCCTACTCCTACCCCTACCCCTACTCCTACTCCTACTCCTACTCCTGCTCCTGCTCCTGCTCCTGCTCCTACTCCCACTCCGACTCCGACTCCGACTCCTACTCCTACTCCTACTCCTACTCCTACTCCTACTCCTACTCCTACTCCTACTACTACTTCTACTACTACTACTACTACTACTACTACTACTACTACTACTACTACTACTACTACTACTACTACTACTACTACTACTACTACTACTACTACTACTACTACTACTACTACTACTACTACTACTACTACTACTACTACTACTACTACTACTACTACTACTACTACTACTACTACTACTACTACTACTACTACTACTACTACTAGGACTACTACTTTGTCGTCCCTGCGTTTGAGGCTGCCTTCACCAACTGCCAGGACCGAAGTCGGTTTCAGGAGGGTTTTATGGATTCTGATTGTCAGTTTAGGGGCGCTTGTTTCTAGCACTGTTTGAACTGCCCGAAGATGACCTTGATGACCCCGCATAGACCCTGGATAGTAGAAGTTCACAGACTGTCGCTTCACTACATATCAAGCAGACCAGTCTGTCCTCGTGACTCATGGGGCTCGGGAATCCGAGGTTCCGGGTTCAGGGATGCCCAGAAAACCTCCCAGTGGTAGGGTTTGAGTCAGCAGCGGTGTTATTGGGGTTGAGGGATGAGTGGTTTCGGCAAGGCTCCCAGTATTCAGTACCCAACCTCCGAAAAGGCATGGTCGCAGCGACGAACTTCATTACGGTTTTCTCGAGGGTGACGCAGTGGTCTTTTAAGACTTTCCCTTGTACCAGGCCATCAGCCGTCTCACAGGCATCATGGCCCCGGTTAATGCTGGGAGCTCGGCGTGGGTGGTGGGAGCCAGTGGGTATGTGGTTGTTGTTTGCTGTCTGGCGCCTTGGCTTCTCTTGCCTTTTTGATAGGGTCAACAAATCTAGGCACATTGGCCCGTGAACCTAAGCCTTAAGCTTGAACCCGTAGCTCGAGAGCACTGCCCGAAGGCTGGAAATTCCAAGCCATGATCCGGAAAACCCGGTGCCCTGCGACATCCTGCGACCCCAGGGCTCAAAACCGAGCCTTTGTACCTGAAGCCGGGGCGGCATGAGACTCCAGGCCCTTGCAAACAGACCACAGAGGCCCTGAAGCCCCGCAGGCCCCTGGACCGAAACTCTGCAGACTTTGCTATGCAGGGATTGCAGGGTATGGCATTTCGCCGGTTCGGTGGCTCAGAGACTCAGATCGCTGGGTAGATGCCGCTACTGCAAAAAATACTCGAAGTGCTTTGGGCGGAGATACAAAAGCCAGTGCAGCGCCATCACAGCCCTCCATTGGCTGTTTTTTGATTAGCGCCCTAACTTGGCCCCTATAAAGCTGTGAACCTTAAACCTTTTTGACCCTTAGGCCACTGATGCCTTGGTCCTTGAGCCCTACAAACCTCTGGTTCCACGAGCCCTGAACCCAGAAGGTTGGCTTCGGGACGTCTCGCCGATTCCCCAAGCCGGCGAATCGTACACCAGGTGCGGAGGCTTTTGCCGGAGAACGAGGGGCTCTGTGGTGTGTAAGACGGATTGCGAACGGACTGCGATGCCTTGTCAAGTTCTAAGGTGTCACTATAAGAGCTGTGAGCAAGACCGTGTAAAGTGCAAGAGAAGGGGGCACGCTACGCGTCCCTCGACTCTAAGGGGGCACGCTACGCGTCCCTCAACTTTACCTTTCTATGTGACCGCCAACGCAACGTTTGGCTCAAGTCAATGCCCATAGCTAAGTGCTATATGTGTCTTCTATCCTGAGCAATCAGAGCGATCCCGTTGCACAGACGAACCGCCGCCGGCAGTGAGTGCAAAAGGAACGGCCGCCGCTTCTGCCTGCATAGGATTGCACGTGTGGAAGTAAGAGAGAGACAGGGTCCAGTCTGTGGAGAGTGCAAGCCAGCCACACCTACATTCATTACAGCTCTGGTGGGGAGAGCAGCAACCAAGTCGAGATCAATCCCCACGCAGGTTATCAGCCGTACGCGGCTCTGCCTTTCTACAGCAACGACTACTTGATCTACTACGACCACAATGAACTCGGGATCAAGCCAAGATACGACAATGACTTTCGGTGCCGATGTGGCAGCGCCAGCCGTTGGTGAGTCAACAGCTGATGACACAGTGGTGCAATCCGTTGATAGCTCCACGGAAGATGACAAAGGTCAGTCTTCTGCGCTTGCCATTGCAAAGGCAGTTCCCAAGGTGAAAGCAAAGAGTCTACCAAGAGCATCTACGCCTTCGCGTCCGACATCCACAGGTTCGAGGACGGGGAAGGCTCCAGAACGACGAGCCGAAGCGTCTGGTTTTCAGGCACCTCGGACTACGTCCAGGGCCAAGGACAAAGGAGTGAAGACCTTGGAAAAGAAGTCAAGACCATCATCTTCGAGAAGCTCTTCAGCACGATCAAGGACCTCAGCCACTCGTGGGCGTGACAAGTCCATGACATGGAATCGGATGATTACCAATCAACCACGCGATGCTGACGATCTGGATATGACTCTGGACACGATTCCTGCACGTGGTGATGCGTCATCCGTGGCCACGCCGGCCATAGCCGATGGTCCGAATGCCTATCAGGAATTGACGATTTCGCAACAGCTCGAAGCATCGAACCTTGCACAGCAGATGTACTATCGCAGCCAGATGCAAGAGTACGAGGGAGTTGTCCAGACCCTGATGGACAAGATCAAGGAGATGCAACAAGAAGATGAAGGATCTGGGATTCGCATTGAAGAATTGGAACGACAACGTGACCATGCATGCTTAGCCATGAGGCACATCAACAATGTCAATCAGGAGATGAAGCGAGACTATGAAGCAGCTTTGTTTCGCATGGATGAACAGAACTCTGCTCAACAACGTCAAGCACACGCCGTTGCCGAGGAGTTGGCTCAGCAGCTACATGTGTTTCGCACGGAAGCAGCCACCAACTTTGTGCAGTTGGAGGCAAGAGCGCAAGGCGATGGCGAGCTTATGGCACGTGAGTATGAGCGTCTGACTCATGAACTTCATGAACATGCCAGAGAGAACTTGTTCCTCCGGTCGAACACAGCAAGTTCGGAACAAGCCTTACAAGCAATGCAGGAACGATTCCACTTAGTCAAGAATCAGGAGTTGCGGGCCGTGAACGAGATCCAAGGGCTAGCTGGAAACAGCGCAGCCATTGATCAAGAACGACTTCGGCTTCGTGAACGTCTTGGTGAAGAGGAAGAGTACCGCAAAATGGCTGTGAGGAGGATGCAAGATGCAGAGGATCGACTTCATCAGAATGAAGATCATGCAAGGCGCTCATTGCCTACCTTGCACGATGAGCTGAGTGAACTCAGGAAAACACTCAAAGCACAAGAAGATCTTCAAGCGAGGACACGCAGCGAATTGGAGGCAGCACGGAACTCCAACTATGGCGGAGTGACACGGCCTTCGAGCATGCCCATGTCTTCGAGGACTACTGAGTCTGGCTGGGAGCACGTAGGAAAGGAAGTAGTGCCTTCATTTTCCGTAGGAGGTGAGGTACGATCCCCTGAAATACGGTCCCCAAGTCAAGTTAGTCCAGTTGCCAAAGAGAAGTTCGCATTCTCGGAATCGGACAAGGACACGACCCTTGCGATGGATGGAATTCCATTTACCGGTGGAAACTTCTTCACTGGCCGCAATCCAACGCCAATCGTGGCGGATGCAATGCCCGAGCACTACGTGCCAGGTATTAGCAGCCCAGCACTTGCGCGTTCCACGCCTAGTGCAGCCACTCTTTTTGGCATACCAAGCGGATCTCATGGGAGAAGTGATGCGGCAGCCGTGCGTGATCGACAGCTACGCGAACTCTTGGAGGATCGCGGGATGTTGGGATCGAAGTCCACAGCATCTGCCAGCTCCTCAAGACCTGTTGGTATCGACGGCATTATCGCATCTACGAAGGGCAACGACCTCATTGGTCCCCCTGTCGCCTATGACGATTCTATCCATGAGGCAAGGAGGCGTCAGATCGAGAAAGAGGTCGCGGAACAGTATGAAGAGAAGATTGCCGATCTGCGAAGCGAAGTACTCAAGGCCCAGAAAGCTGAACAACGTCTCAGAGCTGATCGTGATGAGTGGAGATTATTCGCTGAAACGATTCAGGAAAACAATGGAGACGATGACCGTGATGAAGCTGGCGACGAGAACGGAGAGGAAGAGCATGATGAAGGAACCGGCACGGGGTATGATCCGCCAGATCCGCCTGATGATGACGATGATGATAAGAAGAAAGGCGGAGGAGGCAAACCTGAATCGGATCCTGGCTCGCATGCGCGTGATCCTGATGGAGACGCGGATCCTGAAGTCACAGAGGTGAGAATTTCCAGGAGGGAAGCCGACAAAGTGACCGTTCCTCCATGGCCTACTCTCACTCACCTCAACAACTGGCGATCCGTATGCACGGCCAATGTCTTAGGAGCATCAGCCGACCCACATCATGAGGACTGGATGTTATGGCTGGCACCAGCGTTCAACCCATTCCCTGATGTCGAAGCACTGAACGATTCAGGACACAAGAAGTTCAAGAGCATAGACGTCAAATTGGGGATCGCCATGGTCGCAATGCTACGTGCTGGTGGTGACAAATCAGCTGATCTGTACCTGGAGGTGAACCGGAAGGCTAACGATTACATCAGCAGGCCCGACGGGAAGATCATCAAAGGACGACAGATCATTGCGATGATGTATGAAAGTTTTCGAACGCACGATCGTCTTGACATGATCATCACTCTCGAGTATCTGGTGAAGCTCCAGTACCAAGGCGACAACAAACTTCATACGTTCAAGCAGACGTGGTTGGAAGTCCTGGGACGGATGAGGACAGAAGACATACCATCCAAAACAGCTCTCCGTGATTGCTTGTACAGCAAGATCAAGGACTCGCCCGCAATGAAGATGGAGTTGGGCATGCACTACGAACACTTGCCCTACAATCATGAAGATCGATCGTACGACAATCTGATGAAGATCATCGACCGTACCATCATGCGGAGACGAGAACAGTCAAATCTCACTCAGACCCAAATTGGTTTGCGCCAGATGCTTGAGGGCAAGGATTTGCTCGCTGCACCGGCTAAGGTACCTGAGAAACCAACGCCTAATGCAGCTCCATCCGCAAAGGTCAAGGCTTCGCCGACCAAGCCGGATAAAGCAACACCTGTGCTACCTCAAAGCAAAGCGAAGAGTCATGCGAAGACCAAGCCAAAGCCCAAGAAGAAGACGAGGAGTGAGTCAGCGGACAGCAGAGGTGACAAGAGCAAGAAGCAAATCCGCTGCAAGTTCCATTTCACAGATGCAGGGTGTCGGAATGGTGACAAGTGCCCATTCAGTCACTCGAAGAAGACTCCAGAGCGACCCTTTACGCCGAGGACGAGAACTCCAGTCCGTCTGGAGGAGGAGGAAATAGGATATGCTACTCGTTCAAGAACACAGGCTCGTGCTCAAGAGAGAATTGTCCCTTCAAGCATGAGGCAGCAGCTACCCCAGCTCCGGAACCAAAGGCAAAAGCTAAAGCTAAATCCGAAGCGAAGGCAGCTCCAGCGAAGCCGAATGCCAAGGCCAAAGCACTCCCTGCGGCACCTGCCATCAGATTGTGCCGAAGGTGGAATCCATCAGCCCCGGCTATATGGAAGCGATCTTCAAGACAAGATGAGGAGGAGTCAGATTGTCCATCCGTTGACAGCGACGCTGATTCGGATTGTTCAACAGACGACGAATCCTCGGGAACGACTACGTCGACCCGAAAAGAGATCAAGCGTAATGTGACATTCGCCGACGACGTGAAGTTCACTTCTTCGTGTCCTAGAAGATCGAAGAAGGACAAGGATCGGAAGGTGAAGTACGTCGACATGGAAGCGCCTGTCAACAATGAGGATCGCGCCGTGACTTTGGAGTTCGCCAAGCACAAAGCGAGATTGAGGGCACAGATCATGAGAGACATGGTTGACGACGATGATGATCAATGCGGAGATCGAGTTTCATTCGTACGAATCCCAGGAACGTCTCGAGTGGAAGAAGTTTCCTTCTACGACGGTGAGGATTCCATCGTTGAGCGTGAACTCGATGCTGCGCACAGCAAACGGATCATCAATCAAGGTGTATTAAAATGCATGGTTCAACCAGTCATCCTCAAGAAGAAGATCAAGTTTCTCATGGACACTGGGTGTGGCCACGACCTCATATCTCAGAAGAAGATCGAGAAGCATAGTCGCGAGACACTCGTGACTCCAGAGCCCATATCATTTCAGACAGCAAATGGAATCACCGATACCGATCTCGTGTCGAATTTCCAGACTGAGTCGTTCGAGGAACCGATCAACGCTTACGTGTTGGACGACACACCATCGGTGCTTTCCATAGGCAAGAGATGCATGAACTTCAACTACGGGTTTGTGTGGCCACCCGGAAGGGAACCATTCATGATCAACCCGCAGGGCAAGAGAATATCTCTGTTCGTGAACGGTGACATCCCG